AAATAACGGCCAATATTAAGCAATTACATGGAATCATGGGTACTACTGTTACTTGTAAATCTCATCTCCAATTAAAGGAAATTCAGTCGACCAATCCTGTGAGTCTTAATAGATTAACTGATCTACATAGGAATATACTAATGACTCTCAAGAAAAGAAAAAGTACTGTTATGGGACGGGATGTTTTGGACGATGCCTCTGGTTTCCAACTAGGTCTGTAATCTTGTATCTGTAAGAAAGGACTTTGGCCTGGCCAATTCAGTTAGGCACCCATTTATGTGCCTAAAGAGCTGGTAAAGTACAGATGTCTTGCCATAGAGACAACTGGCTGGTGATCTCTTATGGGAGGGCAATAAATAATAAATTGTTGTTGTTGTTGTTGTTGTTGTTATATTATGGGGGGGGTAGGCATCCCCCACCTCACCTGACTGGAGGCTGCATCATCTTGTAGGCAGGAGAACAACGGTCCAAGAGCTATCCTTTGTTTAATCTGGTATGAAGTTGGGAGCTGGAAAGAGACAGAGAGTGTTGTTATCCAATCTGATAGTGGGCCGTCATGGTCGTCCCCCCATCAATGTAAATGCAGCAGTGGGGCAGGGAGAGCGGCTGGTTGATTGTAGCAGCAATATACAAGGAGGGGTGGCTATCTCACCCGTGAAGGGATATTGGGATTCTTGAGGCGGGTGGGTTGGTGGCACTGCTGGTACAAACACTTAAATGGGCATTTTATCCTCACAACAACCTTGTGATGTAGGTTTGTACTGAGAGACAGTGAATGGCACCAAATGAGCTTTATGACTGAGTGAGGATTTCAAACCCCTTTTGCTCCAGAAATGAAAAAGAAAGAAAACACTGCTGCTATTATGAGATATTAATACATAACCACAGCAAATGAATAAGGTGCTTGCTTTTTAACTATTTAAATCTTTAATTTATTTGAGCATGAGCATCTGAACTGAATTGGTATAAATCTTAAATCACCTTTGCTCCCCTGCCAGGTCTGATCTTGCCCTGAACGTAGTATTGCCGCCCTAAGATCAGCTGATGAAAGATTTACAGTTAACATGACTCACTTACAATTTGTGAAACTTGGGTTCTCCCAAGACTGAGAGCTGGCATTAGAGGAGAGCAGGGCTCTCATGTCTTTCATAGATATGTGGCAGGTAGATGTTAAACAAAGTAAGCCTTTTGTAGTATGGATCTGCAATTATGGGGAAAGAATTGCCAGTTTGATAGTCTGTCTGTTGGACATCTTATTACTTGTGCGTGACCCATTTTATGTTTGGGTCACCTGCAAAAAAGGGTAGATATCTTCATGTTACATTAAGTGTATGGAAATTTTATGCAAACTTGTGTCTGATTTGGCGAGTGCCACAGAGGGTCCTAGGGATGCGGGTGGTGCTGTGGGTTAAACCACAGAGCCTAGGGCTTGCCGATCAGAAGGTCGGCAGTTTGAATCCCTGCGACGGGGTGAGCTCCTGTTGCTCGGTCCCTGCTCCTGCCAACCAAGCAGTTCGAAAGCACGTCAAAGTGCAAGTAGATAAATAGGTACTGCTCCGGCGGGAAGGTAAATGGTGTTTCCGTGCGTTGCTCTGGTTCGCCAGAAGTGGCTTAGTCATGCTGGCCACATGACCCGGAAGCTGTACGCTGGCTCCCTCGGCCAATAAAGCGAGATGAGCGCCGCAACCCCAGAGTCGGCCACGACTGGACCTAATGGTCAGGGGTCCCTTTACCTGTACCTTTACAGAGGGCCCTATCTGTGCCTAGAGCCAGGAGCAAGTGGTGAGGCACTGGGAAAGTGTTATGTACCAGGTGGCCTGCCCAAGCCAGCCTGGTGTTCTTGGGTGTAGTGGAAGATGCTGTCTTGTCTAGGGCTGGGCAATATCAGCTTTCAACATCGCGGTGCATTACCAGGCAAACATCACAGTTTGGCAATATACCACAATGCTGGAAAAAACCAAGATGCATTGGCCTCTGCTCATGAGACACCGGGTGAAACTGCCTCAGCTCTCACCCTCGCAGGCTGAGACAATGCAGCTTGTCCGCCCCCCGCCCCCCCCAACCAAGACAGGCAACTGTGCTCCCCTCAGCTGAGCAGTTTCACAGACCCTCCACCCCACTGCCAGCTTGCAGGAGCCAGCACTGGGCTGGGGGCTCCTTTAACTGCTTGACTGAGGCAAGGGCAGCTGCACACTCCTCAGTTGAGCAGAGGGGGGAACAAGCTGTATTGACGCCTCACTGATACAGCTTGTTTCTCCCTCTCTATAGTATGATGGCAGAGTGGGATGGCCAGTGCCGGATTTATGTATAGGACAAGTAGGCTGAAGCCTAGGGCCTCTAAATCTAGGGGGCCTCGCCAGCCCACCCACTCCGCCGCGGGCAGTCTTCCCTCTCCCAAAATTGCAAACACAAGACTTCATTCGAGGGCAGGACAACATGGGCCTCTAAATCTATGGGGCCTCTCCAGCCTGCTCACTCCCCAGTGCTGCAGTCTCCTCTCCCAAAATTGAAGACCCCCTGCTGTGCAGATAATGGAGAAAGCTCATAAATTGTATCCCTTCTGGCATCCTGGCCAACTCTGTTACGCTGGTGTAAACCCTGGTGCACCAGAAGCCCAGAATAGCAGCAAATAAAATCCGCTCATACGTCAGCGACTGATAAGACTTGTCAACCAGTTCTTCCAAAGTCTTCCTAAATTATAAAGCTCCAAAATGCAGGCCAAAAGAGAGCAGGTCTGGGAAGAGCGAGGCATACAATGGGCACCACCAGTGAAAAGGCCCTGCTCTGTGTAACTCCTGCCCTGTCATTTGCTAGGGTGCCCACTTGCCCTCCTTCTTGACATGGAATGCTCTCTATTGGAGTCTCCAGGTCCAGTACAAAGACCATAAGAAGGGAGAGCAGGGACCTTGAAGTTCCCAACAGCTGTTAAGCAAGCAAGCAAGCACACAGCTCACCTTTGTCACAGTCAGGACACCTATGTCCTGGACTCATCAGGAAAGCTAGGAGATTCAGGTGAGGGTCAGATGCCTTGTCAATCCCAGCAGGTGTATAACAGGAAGACCCAGCCAGGCCTGCTGTAGTTCAGTTATTGCAAAAGTTTTTCAGTGTTAATTTTATGCATTTTTTAAAAAAATCACCATGGTATTTAACAATAATATCTTATGTTCTTTAAAAGAGAAATTATGAATTGCAGAATTTCAAATACCCATCATCATCCTTGGCTTCACTGAATTTTGTTTATAACACTCTTCCACTTTCTTCCAGTTGTGAGGGAGGGGAGGGGGAGGGGCCTCACAAGTGGAATAGCCTAGGGCCTCTCTTCATATAATCCGGCCCTGGGGATGGAGGTTTCACTCAGTGTTACATTGCTGGCATCACCCGCTGGAGGAAGGAACTCTTGACTCCCTCCAGGAGACGCTGCTAGCAGAGGGACTCAGGTGCGGTGGTGGTTCCACCAGCGATATACCACTGAATGTAACTGGCATCACAATCTGCTCCTCATACCGGTCCTGGGCGATATATCACCTAGGCCTAGTCATGTCATCAGGAGTGAAGATTCAGCTGCCAGTGCAGTTAGCTTTGGAGATGAGTAGGTGCCATGTTGTTATTCTCAGGTAGCAAAATGTATTGGACTGGCTCCGTATAAAGCTACATTTAGAGCAAAACAAGCGCATGGGTGAGGATTCTAACATCTCCCTGTACCTCCTCAAAGTCCATATCCTGTATATCTTTCTCCTACACCAAGCTCCCATACTGGAAATAAATTCCACTGGAAATGCTTGGAGACAGGAATATAAGTGTTGGTGGTGGGTGCCTCTTTTGCTCTCAATGTCAGATTACTCAAAAGTCATTTCATACATGGTTAGGGCAGACCAAGATTTAGACAAATGAGTCTGCCTGTTGTCACTGTGTGTCCCTGATGTTAGTGAGGCTGAGTTGGGCCCATGTGATATTTTATCAAGACTGCTCCATGTTCACAGTTGCATTAAGTCAACCTTGGAAACTGCCTTGTCCCAACTTGATACTGAATCACCTTGCCATTATCTGGATCAAAGTCATGGAAAAGATTGCTGTCTATCCAACACTGAAAAGCACCTTAGTTTCCAAAGTGTGTGAAACTGGTTCTAGATCTGGCACAGCCAGCTTGCCTTATGGGTCATGCTGTTCTCCAGTTACTCGTTTGGGTGTCAGAAGTGTACTTCGTTATGCAGCTCAATCTTTAATAGGCAGTCAGGCTCTATAACTAAGTCACTACCACTTAGATTTTTAAGGTTTAAGGCTTAGGGAACACATATATTTGGGCATGGACAGGGGGCTGCATTAAAAAAAAAATCCCCCGAGAGATGTAACATTACATTTTTGAATACTTCATATAACTTTGATTTCTCTCTCTCTCTTTTTAAATATGGGCATTCTGCTGTACTTGGCAGGGACATCTGGAGACTAATAAAATTGCTTTCTGGTCCAAAGCTGCTACATAAGCACACATGTCAATATGGGACGATCCAACAGGTTTCTTGCTACAGGTGTGCAGCTAGTCATAGCTTTCAGGTAGAGAACGTACTCGCAGCGGCGCAACCTCACAAGTCTCCCCAGCATACAGATGAGCACTTTTTTGCGTGTAGGAAATCCCTAACGTGTGAAGCAGCAACTCTGAATGCAGGGTTCATCCAGGCTTCCTTTTGTGCCGCATTTCTAGCCACAGGGCGCCTGGCTTTAATCTGACCTGATGCATTAAAAGGTGGGAATCACGTGAAAATTCTGCCAGCCAGACAAACTGGGCGCATTTATTTATCAAACTGCACGTCTGGATGTGCCTGTTTTCCAGAAACGCTTGTCTGCCAGGAAAACAAAAGGGCGCTTCGTTTTATTCTGTATTTCCCTCTGGGAAAGCTCTATACTTCCTGTCATCGCTAGGCGATTCCAGGCGGGGCCCGAGCTGCCAACGGCAGACTTGCAAGGGAGGGAGGAAGCCGAGCTGTCCCGCCACTCTTCGCAGCGTCGCCTAGGATCAGGTTCCCCCCCAGCTTTCCCCATCTGTTCCCTTGCGCCGCCTCTCATTATCCGGAGCTGCCCGCTCCTCCTGCCTAGCGACAGCGGCGGCGGCGGGGCGGCCCAGGTGGCGCAAGGTGGGAGGAGGGCGGCAGAGGCGGCGGGGAAACAGCCGCAAGGCTCCCCACCGCGTCGGCGCGGGACCTTGGGACAAGAGCGCGCCGAATGCCGCGCCAAACTCGCCGAGCCAGGGCTTCGATCTGATTGGCGGGAACGCCAGGGGGACGCCCCGTCGGAGAGAGCCTGATTGGCCGGATTGTAAAAATATGTTGCAGGGCGCCAGAATAGAAGCTTTAGCGCCTAGTGGAATCTCGGGGCTGCGGGGAAGCGGCCAGTGCAGGCACGTCGCAGGCGCAAGCGAGGGAGGAAGGGCGCGGGAGGTCAGCGCTGCATTGGGGCGGGGGGCTCTTTTTCTTCCCCTTCGGAGGCACCCCCATGAGCCTCAAGTCCGGCTGCGGCTTTGGCGGGCCTGGAGGCGCTGACGCGAAGGGCTCCCTTTGAGAGGACAGGAAGGAAACTCTCGAGAAAAAAATGTAAGTTTCTTGAACTTTTCTTGCGGGGCGGGAAAAATGGGAGGTGGGTCTCCCGCGCTTGTGCCGCCGTCTTCTTCCCTGCGGCTGCACCGAGGGGGCGGCCGCGCCAGAGGCTTCATGGCGGGGGGGCGGGAGACCACCTTTTGGGAGGGGGGCCGGGGTCTCTCCCGCTCTCAGGGCGCGAGTCTCGCTCAACCGCCTTGGGCTGCGAGGTGGGCAGTTTCTGTCCCGCTTCAGTTTCAAAGCTGGGATTTCACTTCCAGGTTCTTTGCGCCAAAAGTAACTGATCCCGGGGCGAACACCCTGAGCTCCCAAATGACAGATTCGCCCTCAGAAGATCCCCACTTTTCGGGGACACCCACCTCCTCTCCCAGGCCAATTTCTACCTATTCTACTGAATCTGAAGATATTTTAATACTGTAATACTTTTCTTCACCTTGGCCCCCAATCTGATCCTTCTATTATTTTGGGTTTGTTTGTTTTTTTAATTTAGTGTTTAGAAAACACTGTGAACTTAATAAGCTTTGCTCAAATTATTTTGGGGTTTGAAGAGGACCCGAAAGCTTTTCTTTTTTTCTTTTTTTTTAGGTGGGAGATGATGTAAGGTGCTGACCCTCTTGTGCAACTCTCAATTTTACAGATGGAGGTTAACTGCTTAACGCTAAAAGACCTGATCAGCTCGAGACATGGAAAAAGGGATTTTATAGATGAAGATGGGGAAAGTGCTCAAAAGGTAAGCAGGTGCCTAAACACCCAGTTCAGTATTTTCAAATCTGCTCACGGCAGTCAGGCTTTGTTCTAAACTGTGTTCTCATTTATTAAAATCATGGTGGAACTTACAATGTTTCAGAAGTAGTAAAACCTACCTGTAATGTCCAACTCAAAAAAACAAAACCATTTTAAGTATGATTATAGTTAGCGCCATTAAATTTAAAAATAAAATTGTAACAATATACATATTTAATCACTCTTTCAGTTGGGCACTTCTCTCTGAAACTTGCAAAAGATCTTCCCCTTGGTTCTAATTTCGCAGAAAGCCAGTTTCTCCACCCTGCCCTTTAAAGGAAATGCGGAGTCATTTTTTCTATTAATGAGATTTCGTTCAAGACATTTGCCATATGGGCACAGGATTATGGACAATCCTGTCATTCCTGATTGGATGTTTGTGGCAGACTCTTATACCTGTGAAAGGGTTGAAGCTGATGCAGTACTGTATCCTACTAGTGCTCTCACTGAGCAAAATGGATCAATATCTGGTTTCAGATATGAAACAGTAAACCTGAAGAGGTGCTCCTGATTAAACAGAAAGCACAGCAAGAAAAAATGTCTCCAGTGTCAAGTGTTTTTACCTAAATGCAGTGGTCTGGATTTGAATGGAGCAGTGGCATTATGGGAGGGGTACTTAACCCTTTATCTTCCAACCATTCTGAAGCTGCTGTTAACCAAATGAGAGGAGTGGAGTTATATGCTCCGCCGCAGCTTCAGAGATGAGCTTTCCTTCCAGGAAAGGGCTGTTCCGTTCAAACTGGGACACACAAACCTGACAGTTGCATTAAAGCAAAAACAGAATACATCAAGAGATCTCCTGTATCAATGAGGCGTACAAGTCAATGTAATGGATTGGTTTCTCCTGAGATGCTACATTCTATGTTGACTGGAACCTCACATTATAGACTTTATCTAAGGGGGGAAGCACAACCTTCACCTCAAAATAGCACTTTTTAATCTGCAAAAGCAGTGACTAGCTGCTAGTGGAACAATAGGCCTGGAAATTTACAAGCAATGTGTGTGTAAAAGTGAAGAAGCCAGAAGAAAGCTCAATTAAGTATACAAATAATCTTGCTCTCTGATTCAATAGTTTTAAAGCATTAAAAAAATTTTTTAAAAAAAATGCTTGTCTCAGTTTGCTGCCATTGTAGGTATTAATCAGTTCAAGTTCTGCAATCACTTTTGGCTCTTTTGACATTGTCGGTTATCTATAGTAGATCTCTAACACTAGCTAACCAAACAGGCAATGCAAGTCTATATGACTGTTGACTGCTGTGGTTATATTCCCACCAGAAAAGCTAGATAGATGTCCCAGTGAGGGCAGTACAATTGTTTTTCAGCCTTGTAAAGTTTCCAAAAGCAGGAGGTTTAAGTAAGAAACATGGTACTGGTACAGCAGTGTGCATTGGCATGACCATATTGGTAAAATGTATTAAATCTGAAGTAGCAGAAAACTAAGGTGTCTTGCAGGAGAAACGCAGTACGAAAGAAAACTGAATTTGGCCCTCGCAAAGTCAGATTAGTTGGCTTAGCATGTCATTGATACCTGGGTCCATGGTTATGCTTTTCCTCACTACAACTTGTGTTTAGTGAGAAGAGTCCTTAACTACAAGCCTGGGTTTGAATGACACCATACAGCACATGGTTAGTGAAGAGGGAGCTGAAACATGAACCTACATTTGTGTAGGATGCTAAGTCAGACTTTGCAGGCAAAGTGACTTGTGGGCTTTCCCAGGAGCCCACTTGCACGGAACCTTTACCACAGTGTATGAACCAGGCCTGCGTCTCTGGCATTTAAGTCAAGCAAAATATGCAATAGACCAGATTAGTGAGTCTGTTAAATCCCTGCCAAATGAACTTAATCACTGGGTAAAGAATACATGAGTCAGTATGATGTATCACACAGAACAGGGATGAGATACTTGTTCAATAGACAGTTTTCTTCAGAGATTTGTACAATCATACCTTGGCAATTCCCACGGATAGAAATGTATAGTTTCAATGTGAAATTTTCTCCAAGTGCATTCATCAACTTAGCAACTGTTTTTAACCCAGTTAATTTGATTTTAATTGAGATTTTTTAAAAGAGAATTGTGTGTATGTATTTTTGTTATCCCTTCCAGAAAAGAGTGAAAGCATTGCACAATTTAAAAACTGGGTTTCCCCCTGTATTTTAAGTATTGGTAACCAATATAAGATTTCAGAATGTACAGAAGTTATTTCCATAGGTTCTGTCATGTTCTTCTGTGACCAAGAAATAGTAACCTGGACATAGTGTCAACGTTTCCCTTTTTTTAAGGTAAATTCCCTTATTCCGAATAGGATTCCTCGCAAGAAAAGGGAAAAGTTAACAGCTATGATCCTGGACAGGTTTATGAAAATGTCAAGGGCCTATGCTGGTGAATGGCTTCCACTGCGTTCTATGAACAGGGTAAATAGGCTTAAATTTGACACACTGGACTCTCCCCACATATTGTGGTCATCAGAGTCTGGGACAAAAAGTTGTGTCCCCGCCCCCCGGGTTGTTCCAATCCACTGTCTGGTTTCAGTCCACTTTTCACCCATTTACATGAAGGGCGTTTAATCCTATGGCAAAAATTAAATCGCTAATCTTAGGAACAATGCTAACCTTGAGCATTGTTCCCTGACCATAAAACTGTATTTTGGTCTTTGCTACTGGACTGACAGGTATTTAGCTCAGGCACAATATGTTTGAACAAAATGCCTGTCATTGTATTGGGTGAAGCGTGTTTAGAGGGAGGGCCTGTGTGGCTGTGTGATAACTTGCTCTTAAAACATCCTAGCACCTCAGGGTAGTGTCTGTTGGTGGGGACCGGGATGTGAGAGGGGTCACAGATATTTATTTCATTTATTTTTATTTAACAAAATTTACATACTGCTTGGGTGTAATAGAGCCTCTAAGTGGCTTACATGAAATATTAAAATTTACAATTAAAAACATTTTAAAATGATAGAAAAATTAACAGCACAAGAGACTGAAACACCCCAACTTTTACATGTTGGGATGGACCTGCCTAAACAAAACCTGTTTTGATAAGGTCCCGAAAAGAGCCAGCAGAGGTTCTTGTCTGCTGTCAGTAGGCAGGGAGTTCTAATATGCAGGTTTTAAAATATCACTTTCTTTCAGTTGTGGAATAATATTATGTGGCAGCTGTAATGGTGCCAGTTCCCCAGACTGAAGCAGTTGAGTGGGCATGTAGGAAGTAAAATATAGTCGTACCTCGGAAGTCGAATGGAATCCATTTTGGAACTCCGTTCCACCTCTGAAACATTGGACTTCCAAAATGCAGCTTCTGATTGGCTGCAGGAAGCTCATGCAGCCAATCAGAAGCCGTGGAAGCCCCATTGGATGTTCAGCTTCCAAAAGAACGTTCAAAAACTGGAACACTCATGTCCGGTTTTCGATTGTTCCGGAGCCGAAACGTACGAGCTCCGGGGCGTTCGAGAACTGAGGTACGACTGTATAGTAGTAGAGTTCTTCTAAAGTGCATTGCTTTATTTCCCTGCCTATATGGCTAAGGTAAAGCAATGCACTGGATATAAACTTGTCTCCTTCCTATGAGACACAAGGGTCTGGGATGAGGTTCCCTCTCACCTCCATCCTAAATTTTAGCCTGTGTACCTTTCCCTGTAGATCTCTATGGGAGCCATTTGTAACTAAGCAGGCCACTGTTTCTTGGTACGATTGGACCACAGCATTGATTGGCTGCTTCTCTGCCTTCCAGTTATCTCCAAAGCTATCTTTTCTTTCTAATAGGAAAACATATTTGATCGACCCAGAATGACCCCAAAGACTCCCATGAAAAATGAACCCATTGATTTGTCAAAGCAAAAAACCTGTACCCCCGAGAGAAGTCCAATTACACCTGTTAAGCTGACGGATAGGCCCCTGGCAGATCCATGGACCCCCACAGCTAACCTAAAGATGCTTATTAGTGCTGCTAGCCCTGACATGCGGGACAGAGAAAAGAAGAAGGAGCTCTTCAGGCCAATTGAGAACAATGAATTTAATGACGCTTTTCCCGATTCCTTGCAGGTAAGAGAGACTTTCCACAGCACATTTGTTTTGAATTAGTCATTTATTATCTGTTTAAACTAAATAATATTTCATTTGTAGCTGTCTCGGCACCTTCTTCGTTTATCTGATTTGTGGACAGCTCTCCCAAATTGTTCTGATTTGACTTTTCGCAGCCATTCTCCTATTTCTGCTCACATAACCAAAGTGCCACTTCCTTTGCCGTCTCTTCACCTGCCATTTTGAGCTGTACTGTCACATATTACTTCCTCTGCACAGCTGCTTCACGGGGCCACCAGCATGGAAGATTTAGAGAATGTGAACTTTCCTTAGAAACAAGAATGCATGGGGGAGCAGGCAGACTCTTTGTGCTTTCCAAGTGACACGAGCAACATACTTAATTTTCTAAACCTTCCCCCCCCCTCCCCAAAATTTCACTGCCGTTACAAACATATTGCACAATAAATGACTATCAGCTGTTGTGTCACTGGAATCATGAATTACAAAGATGTAATTCTGTATACATAAAATATATGAAAAAAATTCTACTCTTCTCCTGTTTTTCGGAAATCCTCATGTCAACGAGTTGACCCCTCCCTGGTTCAAGGGGGGGGCGTAGGTAGTAGATTGGGATCCACTGGTGAATCTCTAGATAGTTTGCAGCAGAGCAGTGATTTCTGGCTCCCACTTGTTTTACAAAAGCAGTAACAATGTTTTTTTAAAAAATTATTTTATTTATATACCGCCCTTCATCAAACGCTCCCAGGGTGGTGTGCAACATTAAACATACTTTATGGAGCATAATAATAAATAACAGCATACAGCATAATAATAAAACAATCATCATGACAGCCCATACAACTTTCCCCTCTGAAATTAGGCTGCCGAAATGAAGAAAGCTCATTAGCATGAGTTAGACTTTGAGCTTGGTTTTTGTACTGAAAAGGGATTCCTTGGCTCACTGTGTGTCTTTTACACCAGGCTGATTGGTACATCCCCAGGTTCCAGCAGCAGGAGCCAGAGGAGCAGTGTGGGTGGGGCGCTGGCTGCTGCCCCAACCTGCCCACGCCGTGTGTTTCTGCTGCTTACGGAGAGTGAGAGGGGCGAGGCGCAGGGAGCTCTGGGTGGTAGCAGAGCCAATACACTCGCTGCTGCACACACGCCACCCTGAGCTCCTTGGATCTCCCTCAGTGAGCCCCTGCGAATTGCAGCATTGGGAAGTCAGGGTAGCAATGTGGCCCCACCCTGCTGGCTGCTGCTGGCTTCTAATAAATAGCAAAGGAGGTCCAGTGAGCCTTACGCTACCCATTTGTGGTTTAAAGTACACTCCGATCCAGCTGCTGTATTGTGCCTCTGGTGAACTTCTCCAAATAATGCTGGCTGCTCCCTGTTCGAAGCATGATTACTTGTACTCACTAGCCATATTAAATCTTGCTCCCCTTGGATAAAATCAGCAGTTCCTGTTTAGAAACGCTTTCTGCAAATTCTTTAAAATACAAAGGCCAAAATCTGCCCCCACCATGCACCATAAAACATAGTGCTACCTAAGGCAGCCGAAATCTTCCTGAGAATGGTCACTCCCAGAACCAATCTAGTGAGAACCGCTTTCATACATTATTGCTTAAAATACAACTTCAGGGGGTGGGGGAATGTAAGCTGCAGTTTCTTTCAGCATTTGAGGCTGTTTTAACAAATGTTCCTTTTAAGGATCACTTGTTGCACTGCAGTAGCCCTCAAAGTTATTTACTGGAGCCGTTCCAGCATCTTTTAAGATTTCTCTTAGGTGCAGAGGCCAATCAAACTCACTATAGTGTAAGAGGCTTCAGAAGTTTTCTTTTGTGGTATGAAACCTGGCCTTCGGGGTTGCTAAAGAGCTTTCTCTCAAAATTGCCCTCTTTCTTCTGCATCCAGTTTTCCTTGTGTTGTGCCTTTGGGGCTGTAAGCCTGCAGGCAGCAGAAGGGCTACAGCTCAGTGGAAGAGCATTTGCTTGGCATGCAGAAGCATCTACAGGTAGGGATGGGAATGTCCCTTCTGAAACACTGGAGAGCTGCTGCCGGTCAGTGTGGGCAAAAGCTAGATGGACCAGCTACTTGGCTCAGTAAAAGGCAGCTTCCTATGCCCCTAGGCCAATTGCTTTTAATTGGTATGGGGTGCTTTGTGAAGTATAAGTGCTCTACCCCTCTAGAGATAGGTGGAAAGGCTCCCGATCAAAACTAATGTGCATTGTTGCTCATTACGTTCAACACTGTACCAGTTTTATCCTTGCTGCCATGCAAACCACCACATTTCCAGTACTGTCCTGCTTGTCAGAGGAGCTACCAGTGTCAAAGACCTGTCAGCCATGCTGCTGTCTTGGCCCAATGGTCTGGGAAGATGGGAGTTGTAGTCAAGCAACATCTGGAGGTTACTTGGCTATCCTTCATCTACAACTCCACTTTCTAGACTTGCTTAAGAAGAGTTTGGATTTGATATCCCGCTTTATTATTACCCTAAGGAGTCTCAAAGCGGCTAACATTCTCCTTTCCCTTCCTCCCCCACAACAAACACTCTGTGAGGTGAGTGGGGCTGAGAGACTTCAAAGAAGTGTGACTGGCCCAAGGTCACCCAGCAGCTGCATGTGGAGGAGCGGAGACGCGAACCCGGTTCCCCAGATTAACGTGACTACCGCTCTTAACCACTACACCACACTGGCTCTTATGCATGTATTTCATTTTCCAGCTGAAAGGCCAGGTCTTGCGTATTAAAAATACAACATGTATTGCTTGTGCCGTGCCATATAGCAAAGTGTTATTTAAAAAACCAGCCAACTACAACCCATTTTATTTGTTTCTAGTGTGGCACCGTAGATGATGGAACAGTGGATGAATATGAAAAGCAGAGACCCAGCAGAAAGCAGAAAAGCTTAGGGCTGCTGTGCCAAAAGTTCTTAGCTCGCTACCCCAGTTATCCTTTATCAGCAGAAAAAACAACAATTTCTTTGGACGAAGTGGCATCTAGTCTTGGTACGTATGCAAGGAAGCAATACTGACTGCAGGAATGAATGCTCTGGTTGAACTAGATAGTAGCCCCTTTAAGGCAAGCAGTTCTCCTTACAAACCCCATTTAAATTAGCTAACCTCTTGTGAAATTTCCCATGCATTTCAGTGGTGTTTCCATGGGAGAAGATGGGGGGGGGCGGTTGGCATAAAAACTCAATGACTGAAACTGAAAATATTCCCCCCTGATGCTACTTATCAATTATCTGAAACAGGATATTTAATATATACAGCACCATGTTTCTTATTGGATGTAAACCTGAGGTGCAAAATCAGATGGACCCAAATATGTTTTATTTAACTAGATTTGGGCTGTAGCATTCTATGCATTTCTTGTTGTGAGCTGCCCTGAAAATTCTGTGGCCTATAAATTACATTAATTAATAAATGGCCTGCACACAAGTATTTGGAAGAGCACATTTCTTCCAAGAATTGTAACTGCTAGGTCTTGCTTCTAAGCAAATTGTTTCAGGACTGAAATAGAAAACTGCTTTGGGGACAGAAGTTGCTAAGTTCAACTCCTGTAATTTCGAGTTAAAAGGAGCAGGTTGCAGATAATAGGGAAGACCTCTGTCGGAGAGCTTGGATAGCCACTGGTAGTCACAAGAGGCAACACTGGGATATCTTGTATAAGGCAAAGCAGCTTTTTTTAATGTTCCAGGAAGAGTAAAGCAGTATTGGGCTCAATAGTCTGATCTGGCACAGAAGGAAGTTTCACATAAATATGTATAAAGTTATTTTTCATCTTTCTATTTGCATAGCATATTTTCTTAAAATAGATTTTTGACATGGTGTTGTTAGGGCAGATTTGTGTAGCCTTTTGCTAAAGGAAGTTTAATGGAAGATGTAATGAGATGTGACAGTGTCGAGAAATATTGAGCAGGGCACTAAGTCATTTTCACTATAGGCTCGCTGCCCCAGATCTGCTGCTGAAGGGGGGGGGCACCTCTCCACTTCCACTTGAGCACCATTTTCATAGTTCCCTAAACTCCAATTAATGGTGTCATCTGTGGCTTAGCCTGTGAGTGATGATGCAGGGACACTGCTTGGTCCCAGCTGTAAATCTTCACCTGGAGCATGAATAACGGGTGGATGACTCTACCACAAGTTTGCGGTACCATGCCCTTTCCCAGGTGAATTACAAGCCTTGTTGAAGTGGATGTCCATTCAAGGGAGCTCTACATCACAGCAACAACTCAACTACACCCAGAGCCCAACAGTTTCAAATCTTCTGCCTGTCCATCCTAGAATAGTAGTAATAAATACTTGAAGGAGGTGGGTGGCAACTGTGTTTTAATACAAAGTAGGCGCTGTGGGTTAAACCACAGAGCCTAGGACTTGCCGATCAAAAAGTCGGCAGTTCGAATCCCCGCAACAGGGTGAGCTCCCGTTGCTCGGTCCCAGCTCCTGCCCACCTAGCAGTTCGAAAGCACATCAAAGTGCAAGTAGATGCACTTCCGGAGGGAAGGTAAATGGCGTTTCCGTGTGCTGCTCTGGTTCGCCAGAAGCGGCTTAGTCATGCTGGCCACATGACCCGGAAGCTGTACACTGGCTCCCTCGGCCAATAAAGCGAGATGAGCGCCGCAACCCCAGATTCAGCCACGACTCAATCTAATGGTCAGGGGTCCCTTTACCTTTACCTTTACCTTTAGACTGCCTTCTCTTGCCCCATCAGCATACTGCTGCACTGCCGTCCACTCTGAATAACCCTAAAGAGCAGCCAATGTAGTACCCATCAGATCTTACAGACTACAAGTCCAATCATCCCAGAACATAGGCTGTGTTGTCTGGGGATGGTGTATGCTATAGCCCATAACATCTGGAGGGTACCACATTGGCTACCGCCAGAATAACTTGCTTTCTCTCTGAGGACTTGACTGCAGTTTACAGTTTGGTAGCATTTCTTCTGTTAATGGGGATAATTTATGGATGTTGCCATGCAAATTTAAGGATCGTTGCGTAGATTTTAATGCTGTAACAAGCGCCACAAAGCCACATGCTGTTTTTGACTAAGTAACTATACATTATTTACTCTTTTATTGGGGGTGGGGGAGAGACAGAGATTCTAACTACATGAAGATTTCCTATCACCGCCACACTAATTCCTCAGAAGGCGGTCTTATTAGGAACTCTGGTACTTTTGCTTGTCCCTTAAGCAGTGGCAAAGGCCACTTAGTTTAACACTGGGATGGTAGTCAGCAACCTGTTCTCTCTTGTTCTGCGTGACAAACTAATAACTGCCTAATTGATATTTTAAATTAAATTAATATAGACAATCATGAGCTACTTCTCACATAAAGCTTTTCATTCCGGGATTGGCCTTTTCAAATGATAACGAGAGTGTCTAGACATGAAAGGATGATGTAGGGATTGACTATTCATGTAGCACTTCTCAAGCTGAATGCTTCCACCTTGAGGCACCCAAACGAAGATAAATCATTTTAACAGAAGTAGCTATGTAGGCTACTAGCCATATTGTAAATAAGCCGCAAAAGCCCTCCTAAAGGATACCTCTGAGCCAAAGGACCTGGACAGGTTACTTTGAACACACAGCCCTATGCAGGCCTGCTCAGAAGCGGTATCCGGGGTGCCTCCCTCAAAAACAAGTTGTTGAGGCTGAGGGGAGACAATATGCTTGGGAACTGTTTTTAAGCCAGAGACACCATATTAACCCTCTGGTGTTACCTAACACACACATACATACATACACACACACACACACGCCAGGCCAGGCAGACCATGAGACATCACTGTGATGCAAATGCTTCAGCTAGAATTAAGTGAAAGTCTCTATGACTTGTATAATATGGAAAGTAGCCCCGAAGAGACCAGTTTTCTCCTGTTATGTAACTTTACAGCACATCTCTAACGAGCCACTGAAAAGTTTTGCTCTTTTGACAGCTGTTGTGTCTATATCTTGTCTGGTTGCTAAACAGTAGAACACGAGTCCATAATTTTGTTCCTTGTTTTGGAAGGAGAATACTGTACCACCATGACTTGTCTTGTAATGGGGAAGGTTTTGTTTTGTTTGGGTGTATTTTGCGATGTTTTGCTATTATTCTCTTTGTCTTGCTTTTCGTTCCACGTCTAGGGGTTGAGCGTAGACGAATTTATGACATAGTGAATGTCTTGGAGTCTCTTGATCTCGTTAGCCGGGTAGCTAAGAATCAGTACTGTTGGCATGGTCGTCACAGCTTGAGTCAAACACTCAGAAACCTCCAGGAAATAGGAGAGCTGCAGAAATATGAAGAACTTATGGCTTCTTTCCAGCATAAAGAGCTAGACCTTGACTGTAAATTTGGAGAACACAAAAAAGAGACTTTTCTAGATTTCCAAGACCGGCAGTTGCTTGACTTCTCGGAGACAGATTGTCCTTCTGGTAAGTTAGCAAAGGCTACTGGCAAAATAAGAGGGAGGTCCTTGCCATCATCAACATGTGACAGGTGTTCGATTTTTATTTTTGAAGTAAATTACTGCATTGAAACATGATTGTATCTTTTGGGGGGACAAGACTTCTTTTCTTCCAAGTGGTGGAACTATATCAGGTCAGCTCTTGCGTCAATTTCCATCTCTTGTCGCCCCAAACGCTGCCCTGATATGATATTGCAGTTTAATAATAATAATAAATAATAAATAATAATAAATAATTAATAATATATTCATACCCCACCCATCTGGCTGGGTCTCCTCAGCCACTCTGGGCAGCTCCCAACAGAATATTAAAACACAATAAAACATCAAACATTAAAAACTTCCCTAAACAGGGCTGCCTTCAGGTGCCTTCTAAAAGTCAGATAGTTGTTTATTTCCTTGACATCTGGTGGGAGGGCATTCCACAGGGCAGGCGCCACTACCAAGAAGGCCCTCTGCCTGGTTCCCTGTAACTTCGCTTCTCACAGTGAGGAAACTGCCAGAAGGCCCTTGGCGCTGGACCTCAGTGTCCGGGCAGAACGATGGGGGTGGAGATGCTCCTTCAGGTATACGAGGCCAAGGCCATTTATAAATGGTGCTATGTAAATGCTTTTATAAATAGATGAAATAAATCAAGCTACATATCCTTTTTCTTCTGGTGCTTCTAACTTCTGATTTCACTCTTCTTTGCTCCTATATTATACGCAGAATAAAATCCTCAGATTGTCCTGCTTTCCACACACTCCTTCAAGATACTTTGCTATGACCTTCCTTCTTTCCTTAAGAGAGTTAAAGTGCAACTGCCCATCTGCTATAGGCAATTATTTTCTGCTCGTTAAAAAAAAACCTGCTTCCCAACAAGGAAATGTTTTTCTTTTTTTCTGCTTGAGAAGCCTTCAAAACGCTTTCTTGGCTGTGATAGATGTAGCATGCTGAGACTTGGGTTGTGTTTGTAATACAGCGTCTGCAAACAGCAGAAAGGACAAGTCGTTGAGGATTATGAGCCAAAAATTTGTCATGCTGTTCCTCGTCTCCAAGACCAAGATAGTTACTCTCGACATAGCAGCGAAAATATTGATAGAAGAAAGCCAGGATACAGCAGATCACAGCAAGTTTAAAAGTAAGATTGTTTCTGGGATGAATTATCATTTAGTCACTGCAGAGAATAACAGTCATACTGACATCACAAGGGAGCATACTTGGTTTTTCAGATTTTTTTAGGGGGGTGGGATTCATATGGAACACGATGGCCCTGCATCATGTCATGCAGGTGATACAGGAGCCTAGTTCAAACCTTAGCCTGTGCAGGATGCAAAGTGTGTGCATGCGTGTACACGAATATTAAATGATTACTTGGCCACTGTGCACTGAAAACAGCTTTTTAAAACTAAACGATAAAATGATCCCCTGTGGTCCTGCCTAAAATGAAAACAGCACACAAAGCTCTGAAACGAAATTTATTATCCTAGATTGGGTTATGAATGTATTTTAAAGAGGCTGCAATCCTGCTAGATTAAAATCAATTCATTGATTTATGTAGGACCAGGGTTTGAACTCAAGGACTATAATATAAAACAATTAGTTTTATGTATTTTTTTCTTATTGAATATGGCGTATTCATGTTCCAGATATAAATCTTTATGCATAGTAATTTTGCTAGGACATTCATCCACCGGTCAAGAGTAAGAGTTCAGACCACATCCACCCACCCCAAATACCTAAAATACATTATATTTTTTGTACCCAGTCCTCATGATCTTACTTCTGGGTTCTCTGGTAGCAGTTCTTCAGCCTAGTTAGTTACATCTTAATGTAACGTAATGCATTTGTTCAATAATTAAACTTGTTTTCTTTTAGCAAAGGTACGGCGATTGTACGATATTGCCAATGTCCTGACAAGCCTTGGGCTCATCGAGAAAGTGCATGTAACAGAGGAAAGAGGTCGTAAGCCAGCCTTCAAATGGATTGGGCCGGTGGAGTTCACTGGAGACAATGGTAATATTCTTTATATTATGTCATTATCTCTTCTTATGCATTTCTTACAGCCTTAACAGCACCAAACTGCCCCAGGTTGGCTCAAATGGTTTCTCCTATTTTTGTAAAGGAGACTCGAGTAATGTGAAGAATAGAAAGCCCAACCCTTAACATTGCAAGGGCGCCATTCAAGGGGCCTCAGTAGGCATCTTCCGATTATAGCTGTTCCACTTCAGCTGCAAAGTGTCTTGCTTTGTCAGTGGAACTGGTTTATTGCCCAAGTGATGCTCCAGGGCTTCTTCATGTTGAGCTTAGCTTGCGGGTCATCCTTTGGCAAGCTGATTTTAACGAAGAATGCATCTGTTTAGGTGGCATAAAGATGGAGATTCCGACCTGTGCTGCTTTGACGAAAGCGAAAGGGGCGGCACGTGTCCCCCACCAAGCCTGTTCCAGTAGGAAAGAGCGGCTCTCGCGACATGCTTCTTTTGGCACTGCTCAGCCTTCCGAAGTGGCCAAGAGGAAGGCCAGCTCAGAACCCAGCAGCCCACGCAGGGGAAACAAGGTAACCTGTGCTCCTCCAACCCACCAGCTCTGCTAACAAGCTAACAGCTGTGCATCTGTGCATCTCTTTTCGGCTAAAGCAGCTCCCTTTCCACAAGCTTAAACTTAGAGCGCGCTCCTTTTGTTAGAATTTGGCACAGGCAGATTAAAGCCCTTTAAATGGAAAGAGAACATATTATTTTATGGTTGCTGGTAAGATGGAGCTGGCTGGAACAATCCTGTTTATAGTACTTTCACACTTCAGCACTGTCAGGCTTTATAAAGTGATTTGAAGGTTTTACTAGAATGGCAATTGGCCCATCTCTGCCTGGTACACGGCGCCCAGCTCAGAAAGCACTGTGTTACCTTGGCCTATGGAACAATAGAATTGTAGAGTTGCCTCTCTCCAACTGCAAACAAACTGTGCTTGAGTGTATGTTGGAGGTATCTGGGCTGAGCTATAGAATACTTTTAAAAAATCAGTCTGATTCCCAAGCCACCATTTTCACTGGGGGGTCCATAAATTCCTGGGATAGGAAGGAGGAAACAGTTTCTGCAATTCCACTGAACCTCAGAGACACTTGGAGGGTACAGCTTCAAGAACAATCCTACACAGGGGCCCCCTCCCAGCTCAAAAGAAATGTGTATCTATAGTGTGATGTTCTTCAGGGCCTCTTCAAGGATCTCTGAAGTGCAGCACAATTGCGGGAACTCTGGGCTAAAGAGAAGGGCTGGGCTAGACCTGGGATAGCTCAGTTGGTAGAGAATGAGACTCTTAACCTCAGGGTCATGGGGCTGAGCCCCACATTGGGCAAAAGATTCCTGCATTGCAGGGGGTTGGGTGAGATAACCCTCCTGGTCCCTTCCAATTCCACAATTCTATGATTCTTTGATTTGTACCATGCTTAGCTTTGGAAGAGGAGCTCAACGTGAACATGCTAAAGAGCTATGGGGTGTGTGGGAAGATGATCGTTCTCACAATCATACGCATTCCCAAGCTCAGCGGCGAGTGGGGAAGCATCCTGGCAACCAGATGTTTTAGCTGTCAATGATGACCAGCCAAAATTTGTGGACACCTGTATTTTCATATAGGCTAGAAAGGGACCTGCAGTGTCCAGCCTACTGCAAATCACTTTGAGGGTGACAGTCATCTGAAATCTGATGTCAAGTGATTGAAACTTCAGGTTGTGCCGTCAAAGGAAGAACTGGGAGTGTAGCGAAGAATGCTCTCAATACTTCCATTGCAGCCCCATCTGAGACAGAGCCTAGAAAATGCATAATTACCAGATTCTAGATACGTGGTCCCTGAAACAGTACTCATCAACGATGTTGCCTGTCTTCCTAAGTTCATGTCTCTGTGAATTTTAGTTGTTCCTCAAGAGAAGACATGATTGGGTGTTTGCATGGCTGTTTCTCATACGGTACAAACATAACCACCCGTTGGTAATTAATTCAGCGTTCTGCTTTTCCTTCATTCTTCAGATGACTGCTGCTCCAAAATGATAAATCTAGCATCTGTTTGCTGCCAGAAGATGGAAGATGACGCAAGGTATGTTGTGGATTTTAAAGCTTGATACTCTGCAAAAGCTTTGGTCTGCATTAAAATGAGCTTCAGTCTTCCAGGTTTAGCTGTTGTGCAACATCCATATGTTATGAAAACAGGCCATGGTTCGGTAACAGTTTGTGCCTTTGCATGTTTCACGAAGAGTTTCATGGGGTACAGCAGCTGCTCCAGTTGGATTGCTCATTAGACTTGAACAAATTTTGGCTTTGCACTAGGTGCAGCACACAATAAAGTGAACTCAGGGTGTGATGTTTCCTTGATAGTTGTGAAAATATGCATCCCACTAAGTGAAGTAAATAACTATCTAACATTTTAACAAAGGTAGACATTTTGAAGCTCTCTAATTTGAAGCTTTGGTTGCGCTAAAATAGAATGAATGGCACCTCCGAAAATTATCTGTGCTACCATGGAGAGACTGAATGACAAATCTAAAGAGGAAGCTGGATTTAAATAAAGCTTGTGTTACCCAGTGGCCATTTTATCCTGATAACGCAGGTGTTCTAATATTGCGATGGATTAAATCCAAGGATGTGGTCCTTTATGTGCATTTAAAGTTGAGTAAAATGTGTATGGCACCATCTTAAACTTAAACACGGCAGAGACAGCTTGCTGAGAATCTTGTTTGGCCTCCAGTCCTCATTTCATAAGGCAAATAAAAATTCCTGAAATGGGTACTCATCGTTGTGAGTGTTGTCATGAATAACACTGATCAGCTAGCACCTTGGCCACACACAGCTCTTTATAGAGTGTCAGTTCTCCTATACTTTTACAAGTCTAGCATAAATTTTAAACCCCTTTTACCTTTTGCACAGAAAATTGCTCATGTAATAACATGGTGACTTATCACATAATGTTCTAGTTAGTGTCTGAATCTAGGTGAAGCCAGTAAAAAGGGTGTCAATGGCGGTAGGAGGGTGTGGTTTTTTTATTTGGCACTGCCATTTTGTGACAGAGCAGATTGTTTATTTTAATTTGTTTTTCTCGCCCTTCTGGTGTGAAGGCCTTCAGTGCATGTCAGAAAATTGCAACAAGCCTTCCTCAGGCCTAATATTGTTCATTGGATTTTCCCATCCTAAACTGGAATAAATAGACACATGCATGCAAACCTTTTGGTGATTTAGTTCTTTCCTAAGCCAGTAGAATAAATCAGGTTTTTCTTAGTAGAGCAAGAATAGCGTGTGCTGTGGTTCTAGACTAACTTATCTCTCCTTTTGTCTTTATAGCAAAGGTCTCGAAGCGGCTGGAAACCTGGGCATCATTTCCCCTTTCTCTGTTCTCCCTGGAGACTCAGACTATTGTCTTAACACCTTCCCTCCCCTCTCCTCAAATGCAAGCTCAGACACGTCACAGCCGTCTCTGCCAAATGGGATAAATGACCAAGGATTATCGGCTTCCAAGTCAGAGGCTGGCAAAACCACTGTGCTCTCCAACCAACCTTTTGTTTACTTGCCATCTCCCTCTCTGTACATGCTGTGTGGCAGTCTTCATGAGAGTCTCTCGAGGGGAAGTCCTCCAGAAAAGGGAAATTGGGACCTCAAGGGCCAGGCTTCACCCTGCCCATCAGAAGGGGCCGAGTCTCCAGTTAAAGCTCAGAAGCGGAGTTCCCAATGGCGTGTTCCTCCCACTGAAGAGGAACCGACGGCAAAAAGGCAGAATCTGGAGCAGAGTGATGGTCCCATTTCACTGGTGGTATCTAAGGTAAGAGAAATGCATTGGACCAATATCCAGGTTTTGATTGCAGCAGGAGAAATGGAAGGTTGTACTTGAAATGACCCTCACCTAGACGAATTAGCATACAGTGGTACCTCGGGTTACATACGCTTCAGGTTACAGACTCCGCTAACCCAGAAATAGTACCTCGGGTTAAGAACTTTGCTTCAGGATAAGAACAGAAATTGTGCTCCAGCGGCGCGGCAGCAGCAGGAGGCCCCATTAGCTAAAGTGGTGCTTCAGGTTAAGAACAGTTTCAGGTTAAGAACGGACCTCCAGAACGAATTAAGTACTTAACCTGAGGTACCACTGTACTGTAGGCAGCATTCATTGCCCCTCACATGTTTGCTGTAAAGCGTGAGGTATTTGCTTCCCCTCTTTGCTGCAGAAGTCATCATAGAGACATGTGATAAATGGCAATGAACATTTTTTTGGCTAGCGCAGTTTTAAGAGCGTGGTGCTGAGAACACCGAGGTTGCAGGTTCAGTCCCTATATGGGACAGCTGTGTATTCCTGCATTGAAGGAATCTCTTCCTTAGGGTCCCTTCCAACTCCATGATTCTGTGTGCAATCCCTCCAGTATTGGAAGAGGAAAGCAAATAAACGAAACGTCTCCTAGAGTTTGAAGAAGTCAAAATGCCATTTGGCCCCCGCCATTTGCTCAGAAGCACCGGTCCACCAACACCTCCGCAATGTGCCACATGCCATGCAAATAAGCCTGGATGAGTCATTCCAGTGAATCAAATCAGACATTGTAGCAGAAGGATTCCTTAATGAGTGGATTTGGATGCAAAATCGCTCCCAAGTTATCAGTCAGACTGAGCAAGGGCAAAATGCTATCACTAAGTCATTGCCCACCCAGCTTCCTATTCCAGATTGTAGCAGTCCTTGCTGTATCTCATACAGAAACAAATAATTGGTTCTTACTACTTTGGCATTTTTTGCCAGTTGCATGAATTAACTCCTGCCAGTTCTGCATTGGAAATCAAAGCTTCATTTCGTTTTTGGGTTTGGTGGGTAGGGGAGGACCCTAATAAAAAAAGCTATTTTATGATAAATTTATCCCTTGATCAACTATTTTTAACCTTTCAAAGCTAGACATAATTTGTGCTAGGGTCCTAGTCCCATAATAGAGCTGCACCTCTTTTGTTTTGCATTTCTTTAATGAAATGAATTGTGCTTTTGTTTTTCTTAGAAGAACGCTAAGCCAACAGATGCAGGATCTGCCTCAGATCGTAACTGCAGTCCCATTGACCAACTTCAGTCCGAAGCAGGGGTGCCTGCTGCTATAGAAGCTGCTAAATCTTTGGAAACTTGGGAGCAGGAAAAGCCATTTAGGAATAAGTGTTCGAAAGAAAATGCAAAGGAAAATGAACAGGCCTCTCAAGAAAATGGCAAGCAGTCCTTCTTGCCACAGTATCTCTATGTGCAGCCTGCAGCTGGTAAGGCTACTCTTGGGAACTAGGTACTGATGTAGCATCTAGCCAGAACATACTTTAAACTAGGTGAATGCAAAACGCTGACCGATTACTAGGTAGGGAGGTGGGATTTCCAAATCTAAATCCTTTCACTGTTACCTATCCCCTTTGTTGTAGCATAACTTGCCCCAAGTCTGGGATGGTATGGAGAAGTCGTGCTATCTGTCTACTAGATCATCTCTACTTCGTAAAGCTTAGCAGAAGTTGTCCAGATTTTTTAATTTTTCAAGCTAAACACTCATGCCCTGTAGAAAGAGTAGCGGGCAAGGTAGTGCCCCAGGTGCTGTGCCCCCCAACTCTCATCCCCCCCCCAGCTGCTATGGCCAATAGTTTGTCAACGTAATCTACAGCAGAGCTGGAGAACCTCTAGCCCATGAACCAACCTTGGCCCTTTCTCAAGAGAAAAGGATATACAGTGGGTGGAATTCAGTGTCGCGTTTCCCCAGTATTTTGGTCTGGAGGTTCTCATCACACACACACACACACACACACACACACGAGTCAGTCCAGTTACTGTCTCATCTAACTGCAAATGTCTGCTTCTGTTCTTCCCTCTGTTTAGGATTGAATGGGTTTAATTTCCTGTTTCCTGCCAACCAAGCTCCTGGTCCCGTCAACCTGTCTTCAAGCCGTTTGCCTTCGCTTAACGTTCCCTGTATGATGGTTCCATCTACGGCCTTGGCACCGTTCCCTCTCATCTATTCCCCGGCAGTCACAAGCCAACTTTCTTCCGCTCCTGCCGGCTCCTTCTCAAATGTCACGTGCATGAATTTCAGAATGCCTGGCCTGGCACCTACAACACCTGTTTTCATTGGGACCCCAGCAGCAGTCGTCACTCCAAATTCATCACAGCTACCAACCCTGGAGCCGCACCAGCAGATTCAGCCAGCTGTACACCTGAGCCCTGTCCTCGGGTCTGCCTGCGGCTCCGTTAAAGCAGACTCGCCGGTTTGCATGGGGCACCCAGTCACCCTCCTGAAATTCCAGCAGGTGAGAATGCAAAGATAGGGTGTGAATGAAGCTCAGATTGGGAGCGCGTAAAATGCGTCTGTTTAAACCAAATCACCTTACGTTTCAAAACTGGCGCTTTTGTGGCAGCTGAAGATCATAAAATTCCTAAACGTTTTATTTTATTATTTTGTAAACAGCAGTTCCTATTTATGAAATCAGCCAGGTGCTTATTTATAAATGAAGCTAGGATTTAGGATTCTCCTCCCCTCACTCGCACAGGGCAAAGTCACTCATCTTTATAATAAGCTCCAGCACATATATGGACTTACGACCTACGCAGGTTTTATGTATTTATTGTATTTCTATCCCATCTTTTTCTCCAAGTTGCTCAAGGTTTTGCCCTTCTTTCTTTCATCTCCACATCCCTGCAAGGTGGTTTAGGCTGTGACTGGCCACCCAGTTGAGTTTCATGGCTGAGTGTGGATTTGGTCTCTGGTCTCCCAAGTCTTAATCTGACACTAACCCCTAGACCACAGTAACTCTCTTGTTGATTTCAGTAAAGGAATTCCTTGTATGGGGTGTCACCCAATCAGGAACCATGCAACTAGGGCGAATTAATGCAATCCTATTCAACTGAGTGCATGCTTAAAAGTTAAGCACTCTTGTTTTAATGTTAAACACCATCATTCTCTGGAACTCTTGTGAGTGGAGTCCAGCTTTGCTTTTTTGACTGGAGCCTCTTAAAGGCTGGGATAATTAGATATTTGGGTAAGTGCTGCTAATACAAGGGTTGTCCTGAACCGTTCATAGCGGCATACATTCATTCATTCATACTAGATTTGAATGGTTTCTGTTCTATGTGGTGGTCAAATTCAAATAGGCTGAGGGACAAACTTCCTTACACCCATGGTTTTCCCACCAAAACAAATCAACTGTTTTAATGGGGGAAGAGACCGGTTATAAGACCATGGCTATCATCTAGAAATTGCTCGCTCCATTCAACCTCAATCTGCAACTCATTTTAGTGATTGCAGAGGCAGGGAGCCTCAAAATGATGCTGAACTCTTTACAGCCTCAGCCGGAATAGCCAAGGGTCAGAGATTATGAGAGTTGTCACCTCGCAGTATCTAAAGGGCCACAGGTTCCCCCCACCTCTGAGCTAGATGAATTGGATTTGAAAGAGAACGACTACTGAATTGCTTTTGTCTCTCCCTACAAATAGTCTTCTGCAGCCCCGCTGACTCCTAAGAACATGCATTCCACACCCCAAGAAGTGTTTTTCAAGACCCCCGGCAGCCTTGAAGACCCTGCGGCATGGCGGAAAAGCGAAGGCAACCAGAGCAGAACGGCAAGCTCTGTTCAAAGAAGATTAGAGATCTCCAGCAACAGCTCTGACTAATCCTGCTCACAGCAGAGGTGTGGGCAGCTTCGGATGCAGAGCCTTAAACTTTTTTTACAGAAATATTCAGTTATTACATAAAAAGGAGAGAAGAGGTTTTAAAAACAGGCACGCTTGCCCACTGTGCATTTGCCAACTACGCTGTTGACGTTCTTCCTCGTGAATCACCCCAGCTGTGGAAATATTAATACCCGTTAAAATCTGAATTATGTGCATGCTGATACAAGGGAGCATCAGGTTCTCTTTGGGAAGTTTATGAAATCGTATTAGTGATCAGTTATGTGAGCAGGTTTACCAGGGTCTGTTCCGAAGTCCAAAACTGGGGGAAGCTGGCTAGCACTTATATAGGGGAAATGCTCTTTTACAAACACGCTATCCTGCTTAAGTATGCAGGATAGGCCAAGGGGGACCTCTAAGTAAAAAAAAAGTGTAGGAGCCGGTGCTTCTTTGCTACAACATTGAAGTATTGCAACTTCAGAAAAACAGACTTTTGTGGAGTACTTGAATGTTATTGATGTACAGTTTCCCCTGCACTTGTTCAAAGCGGAGGCGTCTGATAACTTACAGTAGGAGTGAATGTATTCATGTGAAATACTTTAAGACCAAAACAACTGTGAAGTTTAAAATATTTCAGTGGGGTTCGTACTAGTGGACTTCGTAGTTTCTCTGTGTCCTTGTTTTCTGCACAAAACGTACCAGCTAATTATCAATTGACACAAAGGCCTGTCCCCAACACTATAGGGGGTGTAATAGGTTGCTTCAAGAATAAGGAGTCTCTGAAGTGTGTGTGGTAGAAATTCATCCCTAGTTTAAATATACAGTGGTACCTTGGTTCTCGAACTTAATCCGTTCCGGGAGTCCGTTCGACTCCCGAAACCGTTCGAAAACCAAGCTGCGGCTTCTGATTGGCTGCAGGAGCTTCCTGCAGTCAAGCGGAAGCTGCGTCGGACGTTCAGCTTCCAAAGAACACTTGCTTTCAGGTCTGCGGCGTTTGGGAGCCAATTTGTTCAGGAGCCAAGCCGTCTGAGAACCAAGGCACCACTGTAGTGTAATTCTATACTTAACTACTTGGAAATATGCCCTATTGAATAGAATGGGGTTTACTGCCAGGTAAGTGTAAAGGATTGCAGTGACAATCCCATATACAGTGGTTCCTCGGTTTTCAAGCATCTCGGAAGCCGAATGTTTCGGAAGCCGAACACCGAAAACCCAGAAGTAATTGCTTCTGTTTTTGATGCGCCTCGGAAGTTGAATGGCTTCCGCTACATTTTCTTTCTTTTTTTCTCCATTGACTTTGCTGACCGCCCTTTGTGGCTCGGTTGCCTAACGTTTCAGAAGTCGGAACAGTCTTCCGGAACGGATTACATTCGACAACCGAGGTACCACTGTGTTTTTCTTATTGAGCCAAGGTTCAATATATGGCAACGCATGTTCTGTAATTCTGCCACTGGCTCTGAAGCTTGAAAGAAATTGTCGTTAGTTGGGCAGATTTGCCTATAATGTGGACTTGTATGAATTACACAATAACAGGTCTAGTTTTCATCAAGATAATCCTTTGAGCACGGTATTTATGGCATGAGTGGCTGCTGAGGAAAGATTGGATTTATGACAGAAAGAAATAGAGGTTCTGTATCCCGGCATGGAAATAGAAAAATTAGGGAGTGATCAGTGAAAGGGTTGCATTAATTTATGGGCCACTCTTCATTTACTTACACTATAGAAAGGAAACAAGTCAGTTTAGAGTCTGCTGCTGGAAATGGGTTAACTTTTTACAAATTAACCGGGCAGTGCATACTTCTGCATTTATTTCACCAGTTTCATAGACTAACGTAACACTCATTGCTGATTTTTAAAGAAAATTCATCATGATATTTTTCATTTTTAAATCAAGTAAATAGATAGTGTGGCTGGCTCTCTCTTTTTTTTTTTTAACCTAGGGATGACTTTGTAGCCATGATGTACGTTTCTTGAGGTCAGAAAAGTTTTCTGAACTTTCATTTCACCAGGTTTAAGAAAGAACAATGGTTTTGTGTGACAAGCTATTTTGGTTCATTTAGTTTTGAATAATGAATGTGTTATAAAAATTAAGTAATTAATTTTAGAGCTGCAAAGTAATTTGGGAATATTGTATTTTTATGTTAGAATAGACCAATAACAGCCTTACAAGGAGTGTAGTGCAACTTAATGTTTCTTAAATCTCTTTAGTTCAATCACAATAGGAGATTGAAGAACATGAAGGAAGAGGACCTTAAAACAAAACTTTTTACACTACAGAATTTTCACGTTTTTGTGACTTTTACCCAATGCATTGTTTTATTCCCCCACATTCAAGTTTTCCCACATGAAGTGTAATCTGTTTAGTAACAACTGTTGCCAAGCATAATTGCGGCAGGTGCCTGATTTACTGGTGTACTCAAGTCTGTACCTCTTTTGCTCAAAGGATACTGTTTCTCTTAACAGAAAGATAGCTGATGTGCCTGCTCTTAATTAGTAATCCCTCCTCCATATGCATTACATGTGGCAATGAAGGGGTGGTTCTCAGCAATTAAGGCCGATGAAAAACTCTTGATTCCAAAACATTAAAAGACAGTATGTCTTGTTTTTTCATGATCAATACATTCAGTAACCAATACAGTAGTACCTCGGAAGTCAAACGCCTTGTGACTTGAAGGTTTTGGCTCCCGAGCGCCGCAAACCCGGAAGTGAGTGTTCCTGTTTGTGAACGTTCTTTGCAACCCAAACGTCCAACATTGGTTCTGCAACTTCTGGGTTGCAGAAGCTGTGCCTTGGTTTCCGAATGTTTTGGAAGTCGAACGGACTTCCGGAACGGATTCCATTTGACTTCCGAGGTACAGCTGTACTTGCTTTCTTGGGCATATTTTAGCTGTGTTGGTGACAGCATAGGAAGTGGAGGGGAGAGGTGAAGTGATTGTTTGAACATCCAGCATCACAGAACTACCAGGGCAAAAAAGCTATCTGTAGGGCATGAACATCTGCAAACTGCTGCCACTTTATCCCTAGGCTGGAAGTTTAAGACTGTAGCTGCGCTAGGCTTGCCGCTACCTCTGTCAGCTGTATTTGCAAGCAAGGTGTGGGGAGGAGAGTGAAGTTAAAGATACCTGGGTTGCGTGAACTGGAGAATCGGCTAGATTCAAATTTTCTGTGCACCAGCATGAAGTGAGACCTGTTGCATATAGCTAGCGAGAGGGGAATCAGATTTGGTGGCAGCCAAAGTGGTGGTGTGAACAGGCCAAGGTTTGCTTCTGAGGCCGACCTTCTTACTATTAAAAGACTGGTTGTAAACAGAAGCAAGTGTGAAACTGCAGCTTTTGGTGGTGAAAGCAGGAGCCTGCAGGTCTGGTGACCCAGAATGTGGTGTTTTGTCTTAGGACTCCTGTTTCACAGAACCAAAACTGCTTCAGCAGAGGCAAGCATTCATTTGCACTGATGCAAGTGCTCATGCACTGACTTGTGCAGGATTTCAGGGCTTGTGAAAAACCTTAACTCTGGTACTATGGCACTAACCCGTTTGCAGGGGGGAGAGTGTGTGTATAACTTAATACTTGAATAATATAATATACCACGTTTACATATCTCAGTTCCTTTTGTAAAAGGTGCTATTTCTGTATTTAAAAAGCTGTATTGTTTTTGATAATGTAAAGCTGCTTCATGTTTATAACATTGCACTGCTAGTTTCTTATCTTCGTATTAACCTCTCAATTGCTTGTGGGGCTTCACTGGTTAGAAATTGCTCTCTGCCTGTCTTAGGTTCTTTGCTACACACTGCATTCAAAACTATTAAGAGCACACACTATTTGAACGGGGGAGGGGGGCATATTTTTATACTTAAATTAGATAACTCCTAATCTTTGTAAAATAATAAACATAAAGCCAAAAGTAAAAGGGACTGCTTCTTTTTGTTTCTTGCAAAACCACCAGCCACCATGTATTTAATAATTCCTCAGCTCTGAACGCAGTTGATCACAGCGATCCCATGCATCTCTTTCCTCTGACGCAGCCAAATGAGATGCAGTTCAACATGTCCATTATACGGGCTCCTGACATTTCTCCCCACCACAACCACTTTTTATTAAAAGCATCTTACATGGGCATCCACTTTGGGTTGCAGCTGCAGTAGAGGAGGGACATTTAGCCCCAGGCTATTTTATTGGCCTAAATTGTAACGGTAAAGGGACCCCTGACTGTTGAAATAAAAAAAATTCACTTGCCAGCGATGAGGGAGCCAGTCTGGCCTCTCGAGGAAGGGCATTCCAAAGCCTGGGAGCAGCCACTGAGAAGGCCCTCTCCCATATCTGCACCTGTGATGGTGAGAGGGCAGAGAAAAGGGCCTCTTCTGAAGATCTCTCAGCCCAGGCAGGTTCATATGTGATAATATAGTCTTTCAGATAGCCTTGGCCTAAGCCAGACGGCTTCATAACCAGGCCTTTGAATTGTGCCTGGAAATACACTGCTACATGCCATCCCCAAGCTCCACAGCAGTGTGAGATTCCAGGGAGTTCCAGGCACACTTGACAGCAAGTCTGTGTTTCCTTTTGGACAATGAGGCACAGCGGAGACTGCAGCGTCTTTATGATATATGGTTTGTTTTTGTGATACAGTATATGGTTTGTTTACATGTACAGTGGTACTACCTCTAGTTATGGACTCGATCCATTCCCAGGTGCTGTTCACACCCCGAAAAGTCCGTAACTAGAGCGGCACTTCTGTGCAAGAACGAAAGCACTTCTGCACATGTGCGAAGCGCGCATGGTGAAACCCAGAAGTATACACTTCTGGGTTTGCCGCGTTCGCAACCCGAAAACACGGAACATGAACCTATCGCAACATGAGTTATGAGGTATGACAGTATATACAACCCAAGAGGGCCCCTGATTCTCTCATACGGACAGCAGCATCCTTGCCCTGCCACTTATGTTGCTCCCTCAAGCCACATCTCTTGCTAACCTATTCCCCTGCTTTTTGTAACACTGGGAGAGGCCAGATTCCCCTTTAATCCTCTTTTGTTAACGACCCATTACCCCAGGCTAACTCATCAAAGGAAATAATCATACATGTTAATTTCCTAGGCCTAGAAGTGTCTAATACACAATTTAGGAAGCTTGCCTATGGAATTAGTCTTTCTCGCATGCTAATTTAAGGATTAGAAGTGTCTAGTACACACTAGCTTTGATTACATTCCAAGACTTGGGGGTCTGATACACAGCTTTAACACACAAGCCTTAATTAAATTCTAGCATCTACAAGCCCTATAACAATATATATCTACGGACAGTCAAGTTTTTGCCAGCAGCATAGGCTGAGTTACATAATGATCCTAAAAGAAACCTAGGCAAAGAACACATAAGACTTGTCAAAGAAGTGCAGCCCATTTTCTTTGAACAATGTTTCTTAACCCATAGGCTGCATACTCACAATACATTTAAAGCGTGTTACTTTCTCCAAAGAATCTTGGGTACTGTAGTTTTACTCTCACAGTTACAAGTCTCAGTACCCTTAAACTACAACCCCCAGGATTCCTTGGGAGAAGTCATGTGCTGTAAACATTTGGTTTAGTTTGGCCTACAGTCACCCTACATGTATGTTGGCAGATCTAATACCTGACAAGAAAAGCTCCCTGAAGTGTGAAACTGCAACATCGCCATTGTTTTGAGGGCTGTGTTAATTGTGTGTGTATGTTCTAGATATTGGGCATGAGTATTTTGATCAAATGAGACATGAGGCTTCCAAGAGTTCTGTTCTCTTTTTGTTGTACCACTCCCGATTCAAAGAATTTGTCTTGGCTCACCACACGATGGCAGTAGTGCTTATGTGACAAACTAGAAAACTAACCATGCATATTTTTAAAAGGGCATAGAAACATCCT